GTCAATGAGTTCGTCATCGCGGCATATGGGAGGAAGCCAAGAGGTTGCCATGGGATCATATTTACAACCATTCGCCAAAGCCTCTTGGACGGAATTCCCACAATTGCAATCCTGCTGTTTGAACCAGCGATAAAATGAAAATATAGAGAAAAGCACGGCTCCTAACACAAGAAAAGCAAGTGTCAATATGCGGATAGTCGTTGTCTTTCTCCTCGAGTAGGAGGCGTCGCTGGTTTCGTCTGGTGTCTCAGAAAGAATCCGGTAGTCTATTTCAGCCTGTTTTAGTCTGTTTTGGGCGCTTTATTTGATGAGTTTTCGATAATAGAGAGGTAGGCATACTTCGAGACGTGAAGAACTTCCAAATCATCATGATATATTTTTGACGATTTCTATTCTGCGGTAGAAGTTGATTGTGTCCTGAGAACCGACCAAAAATCATGAGAGAATAGTTCTTATAGCCCCAGAGGACAAAACTCAGTAAGGGATTGCTTTGGAAAGTACGTGCAAAGTACGGGATATGTATGCAGTTGTAATATGTAGGTAGAAAAATACTAGTCACCCCTATGATACGGTATGGAGCGCTAGCTACCCGTGGACGGCTTGCACGTGCCAAGGATATAGAATAAACTGTATCAGTCCTACTTGGGTAACGGTGGATTCATGATCTTCTTCCTAGTTTATTAGGCAACTAATGAGACTGGTTCGAGAAGATCACCAAAAAAAGGAGGGGTAGGCCACTTTCCTGATATGATGAGAATGTAACCTCATATGCATTCCTGGCATCCATGTCAAGCACATCATCCTGCTGACATATTTCGCAAAATGTTGATCTATCAGCAGTCATCGACTACCTAGGTAGATCTCAGCGAAGCGGCTTTGTGTAATGTAAATGCTGCTAAGTTGATGGTAGGGGGGAAAACTGTATGTTGATTTTCCAAGCCCCAGTGATATTGAATACTGCTACAGCTCCGATTGAAAAATTTCATAGTGTTTAGAGCAGTAAACAGGGTTGGAATAAGCATTTTGCGAAGTATAATCTAGCCAATAGTGAATCATCCACATGACACTTGATAGTCTTGCTGATGTCTTGATGTAGGGTTATCAACACTACTGGGAATTGGACAGGGTCATGCAGGCCAGGCTCATAGATATTGTCAAATAATGCAAGCAAAGCAAAGCTGTTTGGAGTTCCCCTCCACTCTTCTGAAACCCCCATCCTGAATCTCTCCGCCCTTCAGCCAATCAATCTCGCCCCGGAACGACAGACAAACTGAGTTTGCAGATATAGAACCACCATCGAAAGGCCTTCCCTCCGAGAATAACATCCTCCACTCGTCGTAGTTCCTCGTACATGAACAAGGCCAAGTAGTAAGTGTCGATGTTCGTAATTGTCAATATCATGCGCAGCTGTAGATGGCGCGTTTGTCGAGGTTCTCGCCCTCTTCGCCCTCTTCGCCCTCCAGTTTGATGCATGGATAGATATTGGTGCGTTTCTCATAGTCACCACTCGTTAGACTTGCGTCGTGGGAGCTCTCGCTGAGAATTGGCGCAGCAGTGGCAAAGGCCACAAACATAGCAAAGGCAAAGAAACGCATGATGACCAGGTGGTTTATCTTCAACGGGGAAGTGTTTTGCGACAAGATGTTGGTATGAATTGGGATGATGGAGTGAGAAAACGAGTATCGCAGTTTATCTTGGATGGCTGATAGTAGTTCTATATGATTATGGGACTGACAGAGACTATTATATATGTTTGATCAAACTTCAGGGCTCTCAAGGATGCTGAGTCACAGAACCTGAATCGTATTTCATGATCGTCTACTGTCTACCTAGGAAATAGCCAAGTGCAGTCCTACTTCGTACTATTGAGGCATTTTTGCCATTGGACAACGTCCATAATCGCACTCGAAATAGCGAATGTTGATCTTTCTGTACACAGGAAGGTAGTATCATGCAAGGTAAGCATGACTAGGTAGTGCATTAGGGTATGCATTGAACGGAACCAGGTAGAATAGAACACATATCCATGAATGAAAGGATTCGCCGAGTAGATCCCATGCGGGGGTAGGTAACGAAGATATGCGGTCTGCAAGATTGTACAACAAATATAAATTGGAGAAATTCAATGGCTAATCACCAGGCAGGCAAAGATCCCATACCCCTCAGCTCAATCCCCCTCCCTTTCCCCTACCCTCTGGAATATTCGGATGGGATATCACGTCCAGTGCGTCACCGTGCATGAGACTGTTCTGCGGTGGAGATTGCAGAGGTTATTCAGGTAACAATCACCTGCGCCTTCCGGTTTTTGGCTGACTACTCTCGCTTGAACTTATATTTAATACGTGACATAAAGCTCTGACGGGATTTGCAACCTTTCTGCACCCTACCTAGGTACACCATACATCCAATTACTTCCATCATGTTCGAGATAGATGGTCCCTCATATTCCAGGGTAGAGGTAGAAAACAAGGATTCGTTAGACGAATACTCTGGCTCTACCGATGGACTGCTCAATGAAAGCCGTACTGTGTCACTCCGAGAACGCTGGCTTCGGGGAGGCAAAAGTACCAAGGTGGCTTTAGCTCTTGCACTCTCTGGCCTCATCGGAACTCATATACTAGCCTTACTCCTGGGCCTGAAGCTGCAGCCAGGCGTGGATGATCTTTGCCTTCACCACAATTCAGCTTACTGTGAGTATTTGGAAATCTAGCTATACACTGTTGTAGGCGCTGATTTATACTGTCAACAGCACCGGTTCTGAAAGAAATAAACACCGAGTTACATCTTGTTCAATTCAACGGAACCCTAGGGCATCCCTCTGAGTTTACGGGTGATCCAAGTCCCGAATTGGATGCTGTGTGGGACAAGTGGGCGTACGGTAGGATACTGCTAAAGATCGTATTCAACTCAGCACATATCTGATAGCTAACGTTCATTGTCCCAGTCAAATATGCAAGTATTCCACCGGAAGAATTCCTAAAGCTTCCCGGCGCAGACCCGGAAGCTGCGCGGCTCACTCCTGAGTACGGAGGAGGATATATTGGTTTCTTGGAGGTCAGCCACCAACTACATGTGAGTGACCTCTTCAGTCTCGTCATGAATAATATGCAGAATACTAATTGCCTCGGTCACAGTGCCTAAATATGATGCGTCAGGCTATGAACCAAGATTACTATAACAACCCCGATTTCCCCGAACAGCAAGCCCCAGTTTTCACTGATAGGCCATTTACTGTCAAAATGCATCTACGTAAGTTATCTCACAAAGCCCATGGAGAGTTACGCAGCTGATTTAAATCAACAGAGCATTGCGTTGAGATTTTGCGCCAGAATATCATGTGCAATGCTGACGTTGGAATTATTCCTCATGAGTGGGTTACCCAAACTCCAGACCCATTTGCCAACTTCAATACCTGGCACAAGTGTCGCGATCTCAGGAGCGTGGAGAATTGGATTCATGAGCATGAGATTCCTACTACGCCCGATGGGAGTGACTTGCCAATTCCTCTGGATTCGAAAATTTTTACCGCACTGCCGTAAGAAAGACATATACATGTTGGTCGGTTCGAGGCAACGCAGTTAGTTTCTTTGATTGATTTTTTTATTTTCTTTTACACGAACTATCCCGAATAGAACGATATACCTTTTTAAGGTTCCATTGACTATCGAATATCATGTTCTGCTGGTATTGCTGCATCTGTGACTCTCAATAATACTAGTAGTATATCTATGAAACGTTAGTTCTTGTATAGAATATCAGACTAGGTCCTTGGTGGATCCGAAAGTTACAGTAGGCGGGTTAAACCTTTGAAGCATCCATATAATTCCATTTCTTTAAACTACAACGTAAAGAAGTACTTTTGAAACAAAGTTCAATTCATTTACAGATAGAAAGCATATATCTGACGGGAATACGCAGAGAGACAGACATTCGTGAAAACTCGAGCACAAGCCCGATGCAAGCTTCAAGAAAGAAAAAAAAAAAAGGCAGATGGGGTATACATCTCGGACCATCACCGACTGCAAAGAAACAGAGCAAATCAGAACGAAATAGTGAGACCATAATGAAAATAACATGGGAATCAGGATATGAATCAGGATATGAATATGAATATCGACGGGAACGAGGACGATCCGCGCAGTAATCGCACAACTTATTTGGATCTGAGAACAGCAATAAGATCGACACCGGACGTCTATGCCCCGAAGATCTTAGCTGAGGAACTCATAAATAAATGACCATTGGAAGCGTGTGTCTAGGACGAAATGAGAGACATGGCCCGTATGTGAACACACAGCTAGACGGGGCCATGTTATGTCCGATGTAGCCCATCGGACGTTTCTATCCACGACGGGAGGAGCGTCGCGAAGGCAAGCTGGTTGCCTCAGGCTTCTTTGCTTTGTTGAAAGAAGCCAGGATATGGATCCACATTAGCTTGTTTGGTTTGCATGTTTAATATCTTAGTCATAGTCCCTGATAAATTGCCAGAGAATAAGGGATAGAAATAGCAGAGTTGTTTAATACGTCTGATTGGCCCATACATCTTGGGTCTGACAGTTATGAGCCCGACTCGGCTGTTATAGGATAACAAAAAGCCATCCCTACCTCTGAAACAGCATCGGAGACCCCCAGAACCGGGATACGGCGATACGGCCTCCCCCGGACACCGAACCATGGAAGCATCTTCCATACTCTCCGCCATTAAGGGCAAAAAACTGAAGGATTCATCGCAGTGGCGTACCTGGTATGCCCGAGTTAAACTGTATGCGAGTCAAAAAAGGGTTTGGGCCCTGTGTAACCCAGACCCAGTCCCAGAAGGCGAGGTTCGACCAAGAGGGCTAAGGGAGCCAATTGAACCCGCCTACCCTGAGGATGGCGATGCTGAAGAGAAGAGAGAATGGCGAGACCGCATGGATATATATAAAGTCGGATATGCCAAATAGGAGAAGCAGGCAAAAGGGTTAGATGATGTCAATGAATTCATCAACGCCCTCGATCCGATGTATCATCTCTCTCTCATTGACTATAAAACACCGAAGTCCCGCCTCGAGTATCTGAAGTCTCGCTTCGCCCGCTCGAGTGCGTATGAAGAAGAAGTCCGTATGAAATGGAAGGCTTTCGCAAACCAACGGCCTTCGAAGGGCGATATCGAGCAATGGTTGACAGCATGGGATAATCTAAGGGAACAAGCTGTTAGCCTCGATCTGGATGAAGTAAAAAGCGCAAACCGTGATTCCCTTCAAGCTGTGAAAGAAGTGCTGCCTATTTGGTGGCAGGCAAAATACCAAGAGATAGTGATGGATAAGAAGACTTACCAAACCCGCGATCTGATCGAGTCATTCCGCGCGATGTATCGTGAACTAGGCCCGAAGCAGGCCTCAACGATGACAAAAGGTATCTTCTCTACCTGGCAAGGTCAGCAAGAGGCTAAGCTGCAAGAGGCTAAGCTGCAAGAGGCTAAACAGCAAGAGGTCGAGAAGTCTGACCCGAAACCACTGCCGTTTAAGAAACGCCTATGTCCGTGCAGCCGTCCAAATAGTAAGGGCAAGCACCGAGTAGCCACCTACTACACCCTTAATGAGGGGTGTAGACCATCGTGGTTTAAACCTGATGATCGCGATGTGACACGGGCAAAGAAAGCATTAGATGCCGATCCTGCTTGGAAAGAATGGGTTGAGAAACAAATCGCTGAAGCACAGGCCGGTCAGGAAGATCAGCCACGAAAAGAGACATCAAATGCAGTACAGATTATGGAGGATCTAGCGGATGAACCAGAGGAACTACCTCCCTCCAAACCTGCTTTGCAACAAGCGAGCCACATATCTCAGAGAAAGTGCTAGCGATGCCGAGGAACTCGCTGAAACATCGAACGATCCTCGATTCTGGGTCGTCGGTGCATATCTGCAACGATAAAAGCCGATTCGTTAGCATAGAGCCATACAATGCCACCTTAGCAACTGGAGATAGTGGTACCAAAGTGACAGGTAAAGGGACCATGAAGCTTATCGGTCGAGCACCTCAAACTGGCAAACGAAGAATGATTATGTTGACAGATAATTACTACGCAATTTGCAGACTTAAATGGAGTCAATTTTATTTATTTTCATACGTTTAGCATATGTTTACTTGAGTCCAAGTATATAGTTTGCATATGGTCAATATATTCACATTTAGAAAGGGAAATCTGTAAGAAAAGAACTATAGCGATCTAGGCCATGCTCTCAAAGGCACTAGAACTGCTAGTTTCTCCATTACCACCCTCCATGTCGTCTATATCGTCCTCATTGACACTACCCACGTTAGAAGCACCCGCAGTAGGTCCAAAGCCAGGGAAAGGAATAGGATTAGCAGGGACATCAGGTCCACGCTATATAGTATTAGCAATAAGTTAAACATATATAAAGGGTCAACTCACACGACGGCTACGATGGCCAGAGGTTGGGGTTGAGGGAATTTGGAATCGATGAAAACGGGAGCCATAAGTGGCTCTGAACTGCGCATCGATGGCCCTATACATATCATTAACATAGGCCTAGTATATCGTTTCACTAAGAGAACTTTGCACTTACGCAATCCGCTCCAGAGCGTCGCACCAAAATCCAACAAGGCCATTATCAGGGCCACGACCAGGTTCATGCACGTAGCTCGCATTCTGCCAGCCAAGCTGAAGGATCCAGCGCTTGATAGCGTTGTGAGCAGAAATGATGTCCTCCCTACGCTTGGCACGACGATCAGGCATGACGACTATATGGTTGGCATACAGTTAGTATATGTCGAGCATATCCAATTCATAAGCACTCACGAGCTCCAGAATGATCCTGGCGTATGTGACGACGCATTGAAGGCCCATCCGGCAGGACCATACCGCACATCTGGCGTGGAGGGTTGACTAGGATGTCGCAGCTGTTGCATTCATATTAGCATCCGCCACACATATGTTAAACACATCGAATCGCAACGTACACGCCAGTGTTCTCCTTGTTAATGACAACGGGCTGGTTTGGGGGAGGGTTCGCAACGATATCAGCCGCCTTGATATCGTACTTGCGTGCACCACCTGCGATCGCTGTGGTGTATGCAATGGGCTTTCAACCTGGGTTATTGTCTGGGATTGGGCCTGCATGTGTTTAGCATATGTAAATAAACATCCTGTGGTCCATATACCATGAGCCTAACCCGCGAATGCATCGGGGTTTGTAGCGGTCAAAACCGTGTTGTTGTTAAAATCGGCCTGGGTTGGACCCAGACCGGGGTGTAGTGCTAGGTTTGCCATGTTGGTTTCCTAGAGACAGTCAACATATATTTCTACCTAAAGAAAGCAAATGTAGGTAGTGAAGAAGAGAAGTGCTGTTGTGTTAGTGTCGACGAATTATATATCTCTCACTTCCTTTGTTGATTTTCCGCATGACCCTTCGAATCACTTGAAATATTGCTTTGTTTGTTTGTAATTTATAATAAGAAATGCTACTTTGATCGAATCTTTTTACACCCTCTTAGAAATTAGACATAAGAGCAACAGTATATAATATGTGTATAGAGATGTATTAGTGGGTAGAAACTTTTAGGTAATGTTGTACAAAAGTCAACATAACTACATTAAATTAGGGCATAAAAGCTGACCGGGACCTGGTTTTTCGCGGGTCCCGATGAGCTCTGGCGCCTGATCGGGACCCGGTAGTAGTTATCATTTCCGCAGGTCCCGTTCAACTTTTAGCTGGGAACCCGTGATAGCGGGTAGTTGGCCCATATATGTCAGGTCAGTGTCTAGAGTGGGTCTTCACACCAATAATGTCGTATGAGGAGATCAGCAAGGCACAGGCCGTCACCTTTAGTTAGGTTCTTTGCATATTGGTTGAGACTGGAAGTGAAGTGGCTAACAAAGCGAGTCGTAGGGAAGTATCTGAGATACCCTTGGCTATTATTGAAAATCTAAGCTCGGAAGACGCCTTTCCTTCATCATGCGATGATCTGAGGACGAGAAATTTTCTAAGAAACAAGACCTGACCGAAGTCTTATTGCTATTCTTACCGGAACTACATATAGAATATGGCTTTATACCTCTCCTCTGACCGATTACGTCATGTTCAGCCTGTAGACTGAGGCGGACTCAGTCGTCTAAATCGCAAATTTATTGGTGACCTCACGCAGTCTAGAGGGACAATATGTGTATAGTTTGGCCGTAACGGGTCACCTAAAACGCATCAGACCGTAGCGGCAGATAGGGCCTGTCCGCGCTCCCCTGTAGGAAGGCAATGTGTCTGTATATTGCAATGGTTTCTATAAACAGAGGGAAGAAGGTGGAAGGGACAAAATCGAGTCTTGACTGCGTGAGAGATGACAAGCTACCAGCAGAGATGAGCAATTGACTCCCGGGAGACAGTTGCAGGAGGGACAAAGCCCCTCAGTAGACTCAGTGTGGTCATCACGTCAGGCAACCCCAATAAAACCACTCCCTTTAAGGGTCACATTTCCCCTCATTTTTCTAATCCATTCATCTCGTCCTCCCTGAAAATTGATGGGGGAGTCGATGATGATTTCGGTCATAAGGCACTTTTGATGACGGGGGTCAAGACTGCGCAGATTTCAGTGATGCGGGCGACTGCGTGCCTGATATCGTACCACAATGATGCTGCTATTCCAGAGAGCTGCAAGTCTGCGCATCGTCTGCGCCTATTTTTATCATCACTGGATTAATTGAGCTCTGCTCGCCAGTCATTCCATGGCTCGAGACAGAAGACGAAACACGTAAGACCAGACCAGCACTGAGACATGCCCCCTCCATCTCTAGTCCGCATGACCTGTTTTCTATCTCGTCCTCTATGCTAATCGATCGTGAAGCTAACGAGGATTTCAGTCTTAAGGCACTATTCCTGCGGCCTGCACGTCTACGCATCGTTTGCGCTTAGTGTAATCGACTATCGCCGGGTTAGTTGAGCTCTGCTTGCCAGTCGGTCCAGGGCCTAGGATAGAAGACGAAACGCGTAGGATGGACTAGAATGGAGATAAACGACCCCCTTATCATCTCTAGTCCACGCGACGCTGTTGCTTAGGAGTAAAACATGTTTTCTTATCCGTCTTTCCCGTCCTCTATGTCAATCGATCGTCTAGCCAACGAAATTAGGGGTCGGAGGTGCATAGATCTCCAAAAGAGCGACCGCGAGAAAAAGGTGTGTAGGCCGAGGAAATAGATGTTTGCACGCAGTCCAACGTCGTTGCCTTGCAGTTTTTCAGATCTGGTGTTTCGACATAGCCGTTATGGAATCTTGCGGCCATCAAAAAAGAATGAAATATCACTGTGTTTGTCTCGTAAACTCTCGCGGACTTAACAACTTCTGGCTGATGCGAAGGCGGCTGAGCCGGTCTGGCTGGTCAAAGATGAGCAGTCCGGCCCCAGTCTTCCTCGGTTCTAAAATGACAAGAGGCCATCAGCGAAGGTCGACAAGGCCCTCAATCAGCTCTGCACCCCCAAGGCAGATTTGGATGAATCTAGATTCGCAGTAGTTTGACAATAGACCGACCCATTGACAGGCGAAGCGACAACTCCGCAGTTCAGCGCAGCGAACCAAGGGCAAAATAGCCTCATATCTTGCGTAATGATGGGATCTAAAGTCCCACGGGGCCGGGCGAGCCAAGCGACGCAGATTGCGCTCGATGGATTGCGGAGTTGACGAGTCGCGCCAGTGACAAAGATGGTGGCGGAGCTCGGTGATCCGGATCAATGGTAAAAATGGCTCACCTGCAGAGCACGGACAAAGACGAGGAAAAAGCAAAAGCGGGCGGGCGAAAGACAGCGAGAAGTCGAGGGGGCGGATGGGAGGGATTATATAGAACCACGCACGGGGACGCACAAGGACAAATAGCGCTAAATTGGGACAAATTAGTCTAAAAAGAGTAATTCGCAGTCCCCCTCCGATATGGTGTAGTGGCTAACATCGCCGTCTCTCACACGGCAGCCGGGGGTTCGATTCCCCCTATCGGAGTTTCTCTTTTCTTTTACTTTTTGTTTCTGTGTTTCCTTCTCTGTGTTTGACTTATTTTCCAGAAAATAGATTAAGAATCGCTTACACTCTAGTTACTTACGTTGTAGCCCTAGGTCATACATTATATACAATGAAACCTCGTTATAACGAATTAAACTAGACATAGCAAAAAGTTCATTATATCCAGGTATTCGTTAAATCAATGTGCCATACATTATATATATATCTACAAATATAGACACCAAAAACGCCCTAATATCACTACACTTCAGCCCTCCTATTCTCCTTGCTCTTAGTAACTAACCTATTACACTTCCGTAGAGCGTTAATTAACCACCCTTTTACCCCCGAGACGAAGGGCTCGAGTCACCGTAATTCTTAGGGAGCGACGGTCGGAGCGGTGGACCGAGCTTCTACAAGATGGGGATCGATCGAAGAGAGGCATTTAATTGGTCAATCCAGCTGAGTAAACCTCGATATAACGAATTTTGTAGAGGAAAGGTGAATTAACTAAGTTAGTAGTAAGGAGGTTTTATCGAATTTTTGTATGGCAGATTAATTCAAGCACCGGTTTCCGTTCGTTATATCCGGGTATTCGTTATTTGCAGGTTCGTTATAACCATGTTTTACTGTACCCCTGGAGGTATATCCTCCGGTCTGGGTTCACCGCCTTCAATATCGCGATAGGGGAGCTACAACCTAGGTAGACCCTCGGAATCCGAAAGATCCTTGGATGTGACGAGATGCCTATTTGCATCGAGTGCTCCTATCCAGTCTCTCACCTGTACAGCGCCTACAGTCGTGCCGATGACCGGTCCCAAGGCAAGGGTGTGCGACTAACGCAATGCCCGCGGTGCCAGCGGTTTGCCGACAAATACGTTGAATACGACTTTGTCGTCCTCTTCATTGACTTAGTGCTAATTAAGCCCCAGGTAAGCATTATACATGTTATGGAGCCACCTGGCTGACATATCCGGAAATAGGTATATCGACATCTCCTCTTCAATCGGCTCGGGCGAGACGATAATCAATTCGATGTGGGTATACTATCTATCTTAGACAACTGAGACCGAGTTACTGATAAATTGGCCTTTTAGCGGTCCATAATTCGCCTAGGAGTTCTTCTGCTTCTCTTCGACGTCTACCTGACCTGGGCACGCATCGAGAAGGACCCATCCCTCGCAACAACCTTCCTGTCACGCGCTCCTATCATTGTCCAATACCTCTTCTTCCTCAGCTTGAATGCAGTCGCAACTCTCGCGCACCACCTCACCGTGCGCCTTTTGGCCTCAATCCTGATCCCAAAGTCGCGCCGATACAGCGGACCAGACAGCAGCAGCAATACGTACACCAATCCTAGCACAAAAACTGCTGGAGATGCCACCCCCTTCCCCTCCGGCCCCCCAACGCAACCCTCCCCATCCGGAGTGCCGATAAACCAACACACCCAGAACGCCCCCGCAAGCCTACTTTGCCCAACTGCAAACCCTAGCTCATGTAGCGAGGTCGCCTCACCAACCGACCTATCCCCACCACCGCAAGGCACGTCAATGGGACCATCACCCCGACCTGCGCCACCCCTGCGCCGAGCATCAACAGCCCCGCTTCAGAACATCCAGCCCCTACCCCCTCCAACAGCCGCAAGCCCAGCAGCGATCAGCACCGCCCTGCTAGTCAGCAGCTGCGCAAAGCTCTTCCCCATCCTGCTGGTAATCTGGGGTGCTGACGGGAGCGGCAGCCTCTCCGACATCCCAGCGCACAGTCACACAGCAGCACAAACCCGGTCCCCGACGCAGCCGGCGACGATGTTCAGCGCGGTGCACCAGAGCCTGCTCACCACAACCACGCAATCCTCTTCCCTCCTCTCTGCGAAAGCGGCTATATCTACTCCGCCTTCAACTTCAGTCCGTTCTTCTTCGTTCCTGGAATCGTGGCTGGCTGCCACGGCTTCTTCGCTTCGAACTTCTACGCCGACTAGTTATCTGACGGGGCTTTTTGACTTGCTTGCTTCGTTGCTTTCTCTTGGTGTTGTTGATACGCACCTGGTGCTTCTGAGTAATATCGAGGCTTTGTATATCTTACTTGGCTGTGGGTATCTGCGTGCTGTTGCTGTTGCTGTTGCGGGCCAAATCGCCCGGTGGGCAGTGCAGAGGGTGATTCTGGGTGGTGTGGGAGTTGGTTAGGAGTGACCCAGATGAAAGCTTGTACTTGATACCAAAAATTAATTTTACCTAGCTTTACCAGCGTGCAAATTAATTACGTGTGCATATCGCCGGGTTTGTGTACTCTACGGAGTGGAAATCCATTGGTCATGTCCACGACATAGTAGTAGGCAATATTCGACTAGTAAAATGACCTAAAAGGGTATGAATATGTACTTTCCATAACAAAGGAAACCAAGCAGCAATTACTAAAAAATCTGAATAAAGACAAAAAAATACAATAACACGCTGCCCAGAAAAGGCCATCTAGGGAAAAGCTATACAAAAATATGAAGCAGCTATAAACCCACAAAGGTTCGCAATACCGACCAATTCCACAAGTAGCCCACTACCAAGCATAGAAAGTAAAAGCAGTCTTCACTCCGGTCTAACCCACGAACATCGCAGCGTGAGATGAGATAAACTTAACTTCATCTTGTACTATCCCTTGACAGGAAAAGACGAGACAATATATCACGACAGTATCCCGAATTGTCAGTTGACAGAATTGACGCAAAACACAAGAAACCAGAAGGGGAAATGCCTCTATTGCGGTACGCGATCAGGCCTGATGTCTGACCGCCTTGGTGCGATGAGCGGGTGCCACTGTGAGAGAAAGACGATTGCTATATTGAGTATGTCAGTATCTTTTATGTGGTACACATATCAAGGAGACGGGTGGATAGAGAGAACAGGTAACAAGAAACGTACCCCACATCAAGTAACAGGAAACGAAGGTAAGAATGAGCGTGCTGCGGAAGAGGCTGAGGACAGCAGAGTTAGTATTCCCAAGTGCTTGCAAATTTAAATGAATGGCAGCTGGGCTCGACGTCCAGCATACATAAAGTGAAGCATGGACTCACGTTTGGTTATCGCCCTTCGGGCTTAGGAACCACGCTGCTGTCGAGAGGGCGATGATGATCACCAGGCCAATGACCAGGCTCCAGCTGTTAAAGTCCATGTTAGCGGCTGTAGTTTGGGATCCTTATCGAGCAGAGTATCGGGAGGTCGAGGCGTGGCGGGATAGATTGAACAACGCGAACAGCCCGTAGCTAGGTAATCATTGAACCATGGCTGAATGTAGGTATACATTGTTCATCGCACTCCGAGAGAAGGGGAAACATACCCGTTTGCCATTTCTTCGGTATTTTGTTATTCTCTTGGTTCGTCGGAGTAAAGCACAACCGAAGATGGAGATCACTCGGTGTCTTACGCGAATGTTGGTGTGGGCGTAGAGTGGGCGAGCTACCGCGGAGAGCTCTGAGGTAGCCGTATTCTTGGTTGTATAAGTTCGCTGCACGAGCGTTCTCGAATGTCCGGGTCCTTTAATGGCGCGGGTGGACGGACAAGTAATCGGTTGTTCGGTACAGCGTGGCACAATTAGAATCGGCTCGATGGTGCTTTGGGTAAGTATTCGACTAGACAAATATCTGAGGTCCTTCTCGGGAAATATGCAGCTGTCAGGTGTGTTGCGAGCTGAAAAAGGCGAGCTGGCGAGTTGGAGTATCTTCGTTGATGTCGGAGCTCCTGGACCTAGCATGCCTGAGGCAGAATTGGCGGGCGGTGGATCCCGAGATCACAGTCCTCGAGGTGCCATATTACATCTACACATCAATGAAAGTGGCATCTGCGCTATGCTTCCACTACAATATGGCCTTTATGAGAATACTTCCAAGTCCAAAAATCCAGACTGAATGATCTGTTGGGTTGGCTCAGCAGAAGCGACGCGGCTTAGATACAAAACACAAGGCCATGGCTCGGAGTAACAGACAAAATACGAAGCCAGGCAGAAGGATAACAAAGAAAACATGGCGTTCAAAATAACGCTTAAGCACCCTCGCGGATCTTGCGGTAGCTAGCCTAAGAAAAACGTGGTTAGATGTGATGGGCATGTAGAACGAGCTTCACCGAGAACTTACTTCCTGCTCGACCTGCAGTGCATCTACAGTCGGAGCAAGCTCGCTGAGAATCTCGTATGACTTCTTGTGGAACTCGAGTTGAGCGGCGATCAAATCGGCCAGGTTGCGCAGGGGCTCGGGGGTATCAAGAACCTGTCGCAAGCGATCTTAGTACCACGGAAAGAATTTAAAAGCAATAAAAAAAGAAAATCAACCGGACCGTACGTTCTTCATCACGCTCACAGCCTCCTCAGTCTGGCCAACAAACTCATCTTCGGCCTGCTCGATCTCCGCGCGGGCATCATCGCTCAAGTTATCTAGGTCGCCGTGGGCACCGGCCTTTTTGCTAGCCTTGATGGAGTCAAGCATCAAGCGGGCATTCTCAACATTCTTGCGCGCCTTAGCAGCGAACATCAAGTTGGTGTTGAGGGTGGTATTCCAGCCGGCCAGGAAGCGGGACTGGATCTGAGCATCCTGGGCCAGACGAGCCTCGCCAACCTGCTCCTCGGCCAGAGCATACTTCTCCAACGCAGTGGCAAGCGGGTCCTCGCCCTCGGTGCTCTGCGCGAGTGTCTGGGAGCCGGCGAGGGAGGCACGGGCGATTGCGTGGTTGAAGGTCTTGGGTTGAGGCTTTGCAGAAGGCGGGGCTGTCAGGGCAGCTTGTGCCTCGGCGGGAGAGCCTGCCTGAGACAGGAGCTGGACCTTCTCGTTGATAGTGCGGCCCAGGTCATTGAAGGATTCGCGGATGTTGGGAGGGTAGTCGTAGGCCTCGTTGGAATATTGGGAGCTGTTCGGGAGAGGTGCGCCGGTTAGCACCTGTGGAGAGCGCCATACATAGCGCAGAAAGCAGTGGGGACTACTCACGTCACCTGCAGCAGCTTCTGGTGGACAAGCTTCAGCGCATCGACGCGCTTCTCGAGCTCGATGTATTCATCGGGTAGTTGGGTCTTGTCCTCGGCCTGGCCCAGCTGCTCCTTGATCATTTGCTGGGTACGCTGCGCGAAAGGCGTGAAGCTCGCACTGTCCGTCAGAAAACCACAAGGCAAGAACATGTTAGTAAAGCGACCGATCACAACTTGGAGGGGTGGAATGGGGTCCGCGGGATAAGGGGTTTATGACGGTGTACTCACCTGAAGTTCTTTCCGAATGCCTGCATTCGATCCATGATTGGGGTATTTTAAAAAAATTTTAACTTAGAAGGGAAAAGGAGGAGAGAACGGGGAGAAATGGATGGGAGTGATGACGGGATATCACCACATGTGCTATGCGGGCGGGACGAAGCTTGGAAGCCTCGACCTTGCACCGCCTCACTTGCGCCACGTATCAACTTATCCATACAATGAGTTTGTATCATCTTTTGTCTTTGTCTTCAATCCTTACACTGGGGGACCTCCAAAGGTATGTCAAACTCACCTCCCATGAGTATGGATTGTTAAGACTTCAATGATGTACCTAGGAATAATGTGCAAATTGACTAAAAGGATACATAGAAAACAACTGGAAATCCCCGTCCAGAACCCAGAATCACTGGAATCAAATTAAAATCATAGCATCGTACGTCTCTGCTTCATAAAGCAGGAAAGTAGTATGGAAACCAGGTCAGGTCAAAGTGGCCATCATAGCACGCATGATGCGAGAGTTGGGTTCTAGAGAAGGTCAGAATCTTCGACACGATATAGTAATTTGCGGCATCATACCTGAGCGCTCCTGCTTCCGGATCTCAGTAACCTCCTCCTGATTGCCTCTATCGTCAATGATGTCTGTTTCGCGTTGCCGAGTGATCTCAATCCCACCCTGCCTCTCCAGACGAAGAAGTCTTGTCTCCTCTTCCAGACTGCGAATGTAATCACTCAGGTCGTGATCGCTCTCTCGTGGACGAACGAGAACCATCGAACCCGTCCGAACAGGATCTGATTCTCGCTCCTCGATGTACTGCACGGGAGATAATAGATGAGGTCCACGGTCATGGACTGATACAGCTCGTCGTCGAGAGACTCCTCGCACTCGAGGCCTCTCGACAAACTCCTCGTATTGATCCACATGGTGGCGCGATCGTGATCTGTGTCGGGAGGGTGACGATTCCACGATGAATGCCTGGCTCGTGCGGGGAGAAGCCTCGACACGCAAGTGTTCTGTTGTCACCCGCTCGCGTGGCCGTTCCCTTAGGGGAGGGGACGAGGACAAGCCAATGTATTCGGCTGTTCGAAAAAGCCAACTTAGTATTATGCTTCCTTACAGGAAATTCGGAATGCGGATGCGTGCGTCAACTCACTTTCCACGGGCGAAGGCCGCCTGAACTCGCGGCTCAAGGTAAGTACTTCGTCGATCTGCGCTTTTGACAATGCCTTCTGAATGACGATCATATCCTCCTACTCAGGTCAGTAACTGGCAACAGCACTATTGGAAGACCAAACACCAACCTCTTCCTTAAACGGATACCCTAGATCCATGATGGCGTGGATATGAGCAAGGTGACGAGGAACACGGGTCTTCCCTTTGCGCGGGTAGGGCTTCTCCTCATGATGTCTGCGAACAGTACTGCTAGAGCGGCGGCGACGGTCAACCATATCTCGGTCGCGAACGTCTCTGAACTCTTCGTCTCCATAATAGTCGGGCTCAGCAATCCTAATATCCTCGTAGACTTCTCGCTCGCGATAACGGCCCGGAGAGAGATGGGGACGAGGCGGAGCAACGACAGGTACACGGGGAACGCGGGGTCCACGATCTCGGGCATCGAGGTGTTCCATTTTGCGCCGCGGTATGCGGTCGAAGGTGTCCAAGGAAGACTGCCGCCTAATAAGTTGGGGACGACGGAATGAAGGACTGTCGTCACGGCGCCGACGCCGGTCATGCGCCACAAGAGACATGGCAGGGGATGGGTGGTCTAGATGGTCATCCTCATAGAGTCGCCCGGGTGCGCGCGCAGGGGGTCCATATCGGTCTTCCTCACGGAGACGTGCTTCAAAGCGCTCTTCGGCATGGCGGGGTCGTTCGGCCACGGGGGGACCCCGTGAGTATCGATCGTATCGATCGCGAGAGTCCAGGGTCCCTGTTGACGAGCGAAAGTCATCATATCGAGACATCTGGGAGTATCACCGGATTCCACCAAAGAAAAAGGAAGAATGAACCGTGGATGACGCGAGCGGCTGACTTCCGTACCGAGGGTGGGGTCTCCGAGGAACCACAGGTGAGAGAGACTGATAGACTGATAGGAAGAGGGTGTCTGAGAGAGGCAGAACTGAGCACAAAGGAACGGAAAGCAGAAATCGAGAATCAGCCTTGGGAGAAAAGAGAAACTCAAAAAGAATGGATGAGAGAGGTAAAACGTCAGGCAGAAGTCGATCGGTGATGACAATCGGACGTATTTCGAATGTGGGGGAGATGTACATCCCAGCTGTACTCGGATACCTATCTGCGCCACACTTTTCTCCGGGCACTACTGTATGATCTGTATGTTGTGCCTAATGTATGTACCATGTATGTACTAGTAGGCTAGGTACTGGTGCATTGTATACTTCATCCAATCCTAAATCTCTAAATTCGCAATATCCTCTTCCAATATTCCCATAGCCCAATGCGCTCGATCTGACTTGACTGTCACAAATCGACGATCTTCAACCTCTTTCAGCACAGCCTCAGACTGTGGCGCACACATTAGCATGGATGTTGTAGGCCAAGGGTATCCAATAGATATGTATGCTTACCTCGCGCTCTTCCCTTTCTCGTTCTCGGTCAGTATCAAATGACCGTTGATAGGGTGGCCCACGACCTTGCTTTGCAGCGACTATCCATGCTCTCTCACAGCCACCTGCAATAGCATCCGCGGTCTTCCACCCAGTCAGGCGAGAGATGTCGCGAAGTTTTGAAATTGTCCAAGTTCGCTGGGTGGGATCATTATATTGCACGGCTGCAAAGAATAGTGGCACCGACATGTCAGTTAACGAAGAACCCAAATTCGGACTCAAGCTTCCAGCTTCGAGGTTAAAGCGTTGTGGGTAGTAGACGCCCGCTAGGATCTTCCCGACAATCTGCGCAAATACAGCTGTCGTTGGAGCACAGACCCCGGCTGCCATCATGATGGCCGGTGGCATAGAGGGATGAATCCGATTCAGCAAAAGGCGCATAGCATAATAAAAACCCCAGATCACGGCGATGGTATGGGTACGGTATTGAAGGGCTGGACCGAACGGTGTAGAGATTTGGGGCGCGACGTCTGCTGGCAAAGGCTGGAAATCGCGACCCAACGCTTTGGAGAATGTGTCCATGGCGACCAGGATCTCTTCCCATTCTTGCTCGGCTTCCTTGTAACTCATGTCATGAGCCGGGTCATCCTCGTCTGGTGACAAACGAGGCTCACGCGGTCTGTCTTGGAATCCCGAGGGAAGGCGTGCAGGCGGTTGAGGGGGTATCATTCCGTACATGGGGGAACTGTCGGCAGAGGTCGGCCCAGGGCTTGAAGAAGGAGACACCCGAGTAGGGTCTGGCACGGACGGGGCCCTGGGGTCCCCTTTAGGCTGCATATTAGATGTGCCAGATGGAGGACCAGGGGGACCCCCCGGACCGAAGCCGCCAGATATTCCAGGTCTTTGACCCGGAGGGCCGCCAGCGAACCGACCAATGAATTTGAACATCTCAGGGCCAGGCTTCCAGTCCACTCCACCTGCCTTTAGCGTTCTCAATTTTCGCTTACGATCACGGAAGCCAAAATCTGTGACCCGAGCGAGCAGTAGCCATAGATGATCTGCGGAGCCGTAGATGGCATCTAAACGGCCAATGCCTGCTCGAGGCGGACATTGACCCCATTGAGAATAGGGCATTCTGGTTTACCAATAAGCAAATCGTTTGTCTGTTAGTAGCCGTAGGTGTAGACTTACAATAGTTTGTTCCCGCCAATAAAACCCTGGAGTGCGTCTTGCTTTGCATACCACCAGTATAAATCGCATTGAATCCGGAAAACTTCAATGTCCTTGCGGGTGAAATGCTTTTTGGAGGGCAACGTACCCTCCTCATTGATACATCCAAAATGGTCGTAATTGACTGCTCGTCCAATAATGGCGCCTAGGAGATCCTCATCGACGCTGTCCTCTTTCTCAGAGAAGGGATCGTCCTCAGAGACATCGCCAGGCATCCCCCACCACGAGTCCGACCAGCCCGACTGGCGTCGCCGCTCGTGAGCTCTACGTCGGTGGGCCCGTAACTCTCTGGTGGTCTTGGCAAAGTCGATTTCTCGGATCAGGTGGGTGGACCCACCGAGGTGGTTGTTCCATTTCGAGTGGTCGGCAGATATCACCTCATAATAGCCCAGTAGAAGAGTGGCAGCCAAGGTACCAACCTGCTTACGCCGGAGGGGAAGGCCAACGGCCGAACCGACTCGCTTCAGGGCATAGTGATAGTGCTTTAAAGATACTGTTGTGGGAACTTGCTGTAAATATGCGATGTGTAAGCTGCTGACAGCCAGTATTGCCTGGAGGAGGGCTGGGTGCTCTAAAGCTTTGAGGGCAAGCGTATAGACCCATAGACCCTGCTGTGCAGATGGGACAGTCGCCCCCAAAACAATAGAAGAGTCTGTAGGATGCCGTTCAAATATAGACAAGGACGGACCAGTCGAGTGAATGAAGTGAGCAAAGATGCGGGCAGTCTTTGGGTTGTTGAGAGGAGAAGAGCCAAGTGTAGGACGGTATGAGGCGAGCACATTGGGCTCGTTCAGGTAAGTCGTGAAGGAGCGGAGTTGTCGCTCATCGCGGTTAGCAGAGGCCATAATAAGACTCAACTGGTTGAAGCCTTCGGCCTGCGATTGATCCACCGTTTCATCGTCCGAGTCCACGTCGTAATAATCCTCACTTTCATCCTCCATGTATATCACTTGTGGTTGATGGGGTATTTGATGGGATATAACCTGCTCATGAGATCGCAATTGCTGCGGTAATTGCCCTGGCGGTGGCTGATAATGATATATCGTCGGCAGCGGGTGGGTCACCTAAGAAATCGCACTCAGTATACCAGCTACTAAAAACAAACACAATAACAACAATACATACCTCAGGAAGCGGGT